ACACACACACACACACACACACACACACACACGCGCGCACGCACGCACGCACGCACGCACTACTCAGCAGTACTCACGCACGCATGCATCTGATATATATACCGATATGCGCTCGTAAATTACTGGAGCCATACAGTTGGTTCGATAATATTGTTCACAAGCTGCAAAGGCTTCCGGTTACAAGGCTATTATTAAGTCAATCATCTTTCCCAATTTCCCATCATGCAGCACGCATCGAGCCGCGGCGGCGCGCCCTGGCGACGAGTCTGGGCAACGCGAGCGGCGAGGTTCCGAAGAGTAAAGCGAGCGAGAGGGTGCCACCTGGTGGCAGCACGCGTGAACGCGTGACTTCTCGGATTGCGCCGTCTAGCGGCGAGGCAGCGAATCAGCGAAATAGTAGTGTAAAGTATGGTTTGCAGATGGTAGAAATAGTAGTTGTGTTTAGAAATGTCGTGACAAGTGGTTGCATAATGGGTTAGTCAGCGGCAGCGCGTTTCATGTAGTATGGATGATGGAGATGAGAAACGGTTGAGAGGGAGTTGTTGTACATGTGGGCAGCGGGTGTGGTTGTCCGGGCGCGCGCGACGTCCTTTGTTATCTAGAAATGTATAAAGGGAAGGTTCTTGGTTGGGAGTTAAAGGTGGGACGTAAGTGTGCGAGGCACGCGGTTACGTGCCTCTGTGCGCGCGCATGTGGGTTTAGAAACAATATAGTATTTGCTGAACACAACTGCGTGGAGCTTGGAGTTTGGAGTTTCATTATTCATTGCTAAAACGAATCTACATTTAAACGGGTAACGTCATCGCTTCGTCGTTACATTTTGATGCCGTCAACAGTTCGAACCGGGTTTGCGGACAAAACGCAAAAGGCTACAAACAATTCACGAGCCACGTAGACACGGAAGATAACTGGAGAAGGAAGAAGAGAAGCTGGAAGAAAGAAGAACGACGGAGGAAGAAAGGGAGAGACGGAAGGAAAGAAGGCAATGCCGAGACGCCGAAACAGACAGATGCCGTGAAAGCCACGGAAGCCGAGAGACAAAGCTAAAAGAAAGAAGAGAAAGATATAATGCCGTGGTAGGTGATGCATTTTTTACTGTATATTTTCCTAGTATAAATTTTGCTGTGCTAAAGCTGTTTACTGTCGCCTGACGGCTGCGGTCGACGTCGACGCGCGCGTCACAGCCGGCGGCGCGCGCGATCGCGCGGCTGCGGCTCAGGAACGCCGGCCAACTCGGCCAGCGGCGGTGGTCGTTGCTGAAGACGGCGATGCCGCTCCAGTCGCACGCGTGCATGTCGGCGAGCAGGCGCGCCGCGTTGGCCAAGACGTCGGAGGCGATCGTGGCGCCGTGGGCGATGGTGCGGCGCTTGCGCGCGAGCCACGGGTCGAAGTCGTGTGCGCGGAATTCGGGGAAGACGACCATCGGCTCGAAGAAGTACATGACATCCGGGTGGTTGTTGAATATCTCACCGACTAGCGAAGAGCCGCTGCGGTGGTAACCTGCGCGTGAGAGAGAATACGTTAATAAAGAGAGAGATAGAGAGAAACAGCGAGAGAGCGAGAGAGAGAGCGAGATAGAGAGAGAGAGGAAGAGCGAGAGAAGAGAGAGAGAGAGAGAGAGAGGAGAGAGAGAGAGGAGAGGAGAGAGGAGAGAGAGCGAGGAGGACAGGAGAGAGAGAAAGAGAGGAAGGCGAGAGAAAGAGAGGGGGAAAGACAAGAGAGGGGAGAGAGTGAAAGAGAAGGGAGAGAGAGCGGGAGAGAGAAGAGAGAGGGAGAGAGGGGCGAGAGAAAGAGAGGGGGGAGAGAAAAGAGAAGGGGAGAGATAAAGAGAGGGAGAGATAAAGAGAGACGGAGAGAGAGAGAGAGAGAGAGAGCGGGAGAGAGATTACGTTATTAGAGAAAGAGAGAGAGAGAGAGAGAGAGAGAGAGAGAGAGAGAGAGAGAGAGAGAGAGAGAGAGAGAGAGAGAGAGAGAGAGAGAATACGTTAGAGTTAATAAAGCCATCCGTGCGTGCAGGGGAGCGAGAAAATGCATATATACAGACTGAGGGAGAAGGATGAAGGAATGGAGCAAGGAAGGGAGATTGGGGGACTGGGAGAGGAGAGAGGGGTATGAGACAGCACGTAAGTTGTTCTGTGCGTGCTTAAGGGGGAGGGGTAGAGAGGAGACAGACAGACAGATAAATAGATGGATGAATCGACGGATTGATGGCTGCATAGACAGAGGGAAGAGAGGGAGAAATAGTGCAAGAGTTAGTGTAGCCAGACCTGGGAAGCGTTTCCGTTTCCTGCGCAACAGGCAACATGGTTTCCGGATTGGCGTATACTCCCACTGACCTGGCGAATTCTGGTGCCGATTGGGCGGGTGCATATCGATTTCTAGTAAATATCACTCGCATCACCTGTCGGCTGTCACACGTTATATGTTTAGCTTATACGAAAGCAAATTTGACTGCCTCGCGACCCAGCCCAGTTTCCTGCGGTATTGTTTGTCCGGCTACTTTAACTGCTTATTTAAAGTATGTTGACCTGTTTAACTGTTTACTTGTTTTATTACTTAAACAAGACATAATTTAGGATTGGCTTGACCACAGGCACTTGGAACGTCTCAATAATAAAAAGGTAAATAAACACGAAATGTATTTACTACCAAAGTCTTAATGTTTCTCTACTTTATGTCGCGTATTATTGCCGATAATTACCCGTTAATGCCGGTCAAATGCTCAACTGCACCATACAAGTACACCGCACACCCGCCCTGTGCACAAACAACATGAATAACAAGCTTCACCAAAGTGCGCGTCCCCTTTCAGTGCGCAACCCTATGTGCGAACAACCGGTGTTTCTGCAGTAGCACGATCATGACAACGAGCACCCACGCGCCACCCACAGTAGCACGGCACCACCACCAGAGCTGTATTATTCTTGTTGTTGGGGCACACGGCGTGCGTGTGGTATACTTGTATGGTGCAGATGAACATTTGACCGACATTTACAGGTAATTATCGGCAATAATAGGCGACATAGAGTAGAGAAACATTATGACTTTGGTAGTAAATACATTTCGTGTTTATTTATCTTTTTTTTTATTGAGACGTTCCAAGTTCCTGTGGGCTTGACGCACGTCAACTACTGCGCAGAATATGCAGTGCAATTGTCACGTTCTGATATTCCATAAACTAGCAGCAGATGGGTATGTAGTGGATGCCGTGATATATATCGCTGAATTATTTAATGTAAATTAATGACGATGAATAAATTTCGGAGTAGAAATTGTAGAATTGATGCACCCCATCAATAACCGTCTTTATCAGTTTCAGTTTTTTTTACCGTTAACAACCAATCAATCCAAACATTCTGATTCAATTTTTCTTTGCGTATTGACGATCGCGTGCATGCATACGAGGTTACATTACGACTTGATAGTTATTCAACACCAACACAACATACACAACCAGTCGTCTGTGATCATTCACATCGCTGCTCTACTGCTGCGAATACGTGTGCGATGACTGACGTTATTAACTGCGATCGCGAATTCTTCGAGCAATTAAATTGCCGGCAACGATAACTCACACGGCGTTATGTTACAGAAAAACTTCGCAGCCGATCAGCGAAGAAACAGACGTTACTAACGATGCCCGCGTGACGTCACGAGGGTGGGGGGGTACTGTATACGCCATATTTTTCGCGTAGGCTACAGATATTTTCGCGAATTCAGACTTGACGGAAAATTTCGCGGTCGGTGAATTATGAATTATTCGATATTATTCGGTATGAATTATTCGCGTGTTGTTATTTTCGCGGTCGGGGACGCGTTCGCGAAATTCGCGTAAATTAAACCACCGCGAAATATACAGCTTATACGGTATTCGATTTATGTCTCGTCTTGACGACTGTACGTTGTCTGGTCTTTGTTAGCTGGGCCCCCATTTTCTCTAGAACTATAGCCCCTGTGGCCGAGCGAAGGGCTCTAGTTCTCGAGCTAGGCCCCCGTGTGTTTGTTGTCTATCGACTTGATGTCAGGTGTTTACGCACGTTGTCTGCTTGCATCATTGCGCATGATGCTATGGTCAAGATGTATTAATCATTTATCATCACCGATCTATTCATGCAACCCTGTTAATATTACATTCACACGCAATGTTTCGATTCGATCCAGCTTGTCCTGGTCGCTCGCCCTGGTCGTCCTGGTCGCTCGCCAAGAAGGCGGTTGCTCATACAACGCGGGTTCATTGCAATGCTAGCAATGCATTCAGGGTTGTATGGAGGTCACAGCTTTGTGTGACCGCAGCTCTTGCAATGTTTGTTACTGTCGCTGCTGCGTCGATACAAGATGGATTATATATAATCAGGAATACATGACCAGAGAGTCTTCATCTCCTTCTGTAATCAGGAGCACATAAGTCCCGGGTTTTATGTGCTTTTGATATATAAAACATGACAATATTATGTTCCATAGAATATCATGTCGTTTAGTGATGTTTTTGCACGTATACATATAATAAGCATATTATATAAACCGAATGAATGTGTTTCGCATGTACTTACTGACAATGATGAGAAAGGTCTGGTTCTTGGCATCCACCTCTTTCATGTCTTCACCGGTATCGCCCGTCACTCTCCCAGCGTCTTTCGCCGCCGCCACCGACGCCGTGACGTTAGTTTCCATGCTGTCGCTACTGTAACGACGATGATGACGTTACCCGTTTAAATGCAGATTCGTTGTAGCGATGAATAATAAAACTCCAAACTCCAAGCAGTTGTGTTCAGCAAATAGTATATTGTTTCTCAACCCACATGCGCTCGCACAAAGGCACGCAACCGCGTGCCTCGCACACTCACGTCCCACCCTCACTCATCCCACCCTCACTCACAACCAAGAACCTTCCCTTTATACATTTCTAGATAACAAAGGACGTCGCGCGCGCCCGGACAACCACACCCGCTGCCCACATGTACAACAACTCCCTCTTAACCGTTTCTCATCTCCATCATCCATACTACATCAAACGCGCTGCCGCTGACTAACCCATTATGCAACCACTTCTCGCGACATTTCTAAACACAACTACTATTTCTACCATCTGCAAACCATACTTTACATTACCTTCAAGATGTGAAGCCGTGATTCCGTATTGCATAGGTGAGACAGTGATGATGCACGTGTATGCGTGTGTTTATACATAGACACGTCGTGCAGTAGTGGCGGAGGGGAGGGATGGATTAGAGAATATCATCGACTGCCGCTATCGTTTCAGGTTCGCGCGTCTGTCTGGGAGAATCTCTCGCTAGAATGGAGCTATTCGTTCTCTTCACAAGCATACTGCAGAGTTTCGGAATCGAGCTACCAGATGGCAGAACCGAGCCATGCCTCGATGGAGAGTCTGGATTTGTCTACAATGCAAAACCGTATCAGTTGAGGTTTAGATCACGTGACTGAATCATTAAGACAAATCAATAACAATACTGATGTATGTCCAGTCATAATGACATGTTTACCTTTGTGTACGCTAATTTATATTGACATGTTTACGTGAGTTTATGTTAATCTATAATGAAATATTTACCGGTATGTACTTTAATATGCAATGGCATGTTTACCTGTATTTATATTAATATATGCTCACTTGTCTCGTTGTATGTACGTTATTTTTTGTTGACATATTTACCTGTATGTATGTTAATCTATAATGCTGTGTATACCTGTATGTTCGTTAATCTATAATGGCATGTTTACCTGTATGTTCGTTAAACTATAATGTCATGTTTACCTGAATGTACGTTATTCTTAACGATGTTGAAGTGTTGTAAAATAAATCAATAAGCCAAGTAAAATCGTCGATTGCAGCTTTCTTTGCTTACCGGAAACCATTATTTTGGTATTCTCGGTGTAAAGAAAGCAGGTATACAGTTTCTCCAGATGAAAATCTTGGTGCTTTAATTTTACTGAATGTCATAACAAACGTGCGTGTGCATGATCGATCATTGCAACCGTTCTGAATACCAAACAGATTAGGATTATGCATTAACGGGGAACCGAAACCTGGGTTCATCATCGGTTATCAATATTATTGATTATTAATAATTCTATTATAGGTTATAATTGATAAATTGGCTACTAGTACTATAACTACTGTTTTTCTTGTCTCTTATCACAAAATATAGCATAACTAAAAATATGCATCACCACCATTTTGAAATGAGCCTCTTTTCTAAAGATATTATCAGCTAAAACTCATTACTCCTTGTTCGCACTATATTGATATTAATCACAATTACATCTATAGTAACAGACAGTCACACACTGCGCATAATAATGTGGTTTCAGAATTAACACAGTAACAAATTATATTAAATTACATTCAGAATGTAACAGAGTAATGTTTTACCTCGTGCATCTATACGTAACATAGTTGAGCTTGCAGTGTTCGCTAGTTAACACGTTAATTCAACTACATTCAGAATGTAACCGAGTAGCCTAATGTTAGTTAACATGGTTGCATTTGCAGTGTTCGCTAGTTAACACTTTAATTAACTTAATTAACATCGCGTTTCCTCTAATATTGTGTCCAGTGTTTCTCTCCGTCCTGACCTCGGTGGTTCCTCACTCGCGTGCTTCTGTCTGTAGTTAATGCAGAGGGCGCCACCCCGCAAGACTCCACTCACGATACATGAGATTCCAGAAAGGATAAAGACGGGTCTCAGGTCGCCAGTGTAGCGGTCCATGAGAAAACCTATAGAAAAAAATCCATATTCAGGTTATTCTATCATCTATCCTATCATCCTATCATCTGTGAGTCTAATACAAAAATCTATCCCTCGTCATAATCCTAATACAGTCTTAAGCAAATTATTATTTTTCGCGGGAGATATTGCGCATGCGCGAGCACCGTTTCAAGCGTGCAATTCGGACTGATAGAAATGGGATAATATAGCTTGCTGAGGGAGCGTGGGGTGAAAGGCTGAGGGGAGGAGGCAGGGAAGATATCTGAATAGCTGTGAGATCAGCAATTAGAAGCTGTGCGAGGAAAACTGGAGGCACATTGAGGGATGGGCAGAGGATGACGTATGGGATTGCACCCTAGAAGCTAGGGCGCTTCACTATTCATAAACACAGATCAACTGATAACTATTTATCACAGAATTCTAAGCTCAGATACCCCCTCTCCATACTAAATGCATTTCGGTTACAAATTAATATTCCTCTGGTGCGATATTTCGCATGCGCTAACACACTAACTTAGTCAGATTGTGTACAGTCTGGCATATGCAGCGGGCACCTCACATTCACGGTCTTCCTCCGATATCTTTACAGATGCCTACTGATAGAGTTTTATCATTAAAATCGATGCTAGGATACCTCCTCTCCAGTGTAAATGCATAATTTTAGCAAGTTATTATTTTTCTCGAGAGATATTGCGCATGCGCGAGCACTGTTTCAGGCGTACAATTCGGACGGATAGCAACGGGATAATTAGACCGGGAGCCCATGGGGGCCAGCCTAGCTAGAAAGGAAACCAATTTTCATGTATATAGCAATGATTCATGTACATACCCATGTAAGAATATGGACGTCTGCTGTGCACCCTGTGGTGGGTGTAGTGTGTGGGGTCATTTGAAAGGCAAATCAAAATTGAGCTAGATTAGCTGGAGAGGAAACCCCATGAAACCTATTGGAAAATGTTCGGCACGGTCCCAGGTATCATGAATGGACACTCCCAGAATTTTTCAGTTGTGGGGCGTATCCACCAGACTTACATAATCGGGATCCCAAAATTGAGCCAGACGACCTGGAAAGGAAACCTTCTAAAACCCGTTGGAAAATGTTCGGCATAGTCCCATGTATCGTGGATGGCCACTACCGCCAGAATATTTCAGTGGTGGATGTATCGCCAGACGCCCCAAATGCCCCACCCCTAAAATTGAGCTAGATTTGCTTGAAAGAAAACCGCATAAAACCCCTTGGATAATGTTCGGCATAGTCCCAGGTATCATGAATGGCCACGGCCAAAATTTTTCACTGGTGGGTTGTGCCCACCAGACACCCCTAAATATGCCCCCCACCGGGCCCCCATTATTTAGCTAGATTAGCTGGAGAGGATACCACTGATCCATCGACCAGCTTTGCTTAGCAACTTTCTTTTCATGTTGTTGATTTGCAGATAGCTGGAATCGTCCAACAAATCTCCCATGTACAAAACATTCGATTTGATGAAACAACATTTTCCCTTTATATCTAGAACTTCTTTTCAACCACTTCATTTCTCATATATAGTGTCTTCAAAATCATGCGGACAAGAGAAATCACCTGAACAGTTTCTCTCATGAAGCCATACGGCAAATAAATCACAATAAAAATCAGGTATTTTATCTCTATAAAACAAAACATCATTTGCCATACATTTACAATTCCAAATCACATCAATGCCCCCCAATTTAGCAATCCAGTAAACCTAACTTTCTATTCTTCAATTACATTCAGTACACAAATACAGTAGTTGATACAAATCTATTTTGATATTTACAATTTTTTTGATAACAAATGTTAACCATATTCAAACCAGCAAGTTTAATGTCATTTATCATATTTGATTTCTTAACTTTAGCACTTGCAGACCCCAAAAGAAAGTGAGCAAATATGAATACAAGTTGTTTAATTAAATTGCTCAAACATGTCAATATTTGAGCTGTATATAGACAAAACTTTGGATCGTAATAGCGTATAAAATTTGTTGTTTCCTACAAGAATTCCCCGTCTTCCACCTCTAAATCAGAGTCTTCATCACTACATGCTTCAACATTTGAATCGCTCAGTACTTCCAACTCAGAATATGTTCTGTCACCTTCAACCTTCATGTCCTCTGGATTGTAATTGACATTTTAAAAAACGTCGTAAAAGTTTTTTGATCTTGGCCCACAGCTTAAATATATCCGGTTGGTATTGCTAACACGCGCGTGACGTCACAAGACATAGTTATTCGCGGATTCTCCATACATGCAGGCGTGAGTTCACTTAACACTATTTACAGATTAGAAATACATACAAGTGAACCCCCTAATTATTAGCATATTATTATCATATATATATTGTAGTGCCAGTTGACCATTTTTGCCGCTTGCTCTCTCTACCCCCTTCTCTCTCTCACCCCTCCCCTTTCGCTTTCTCTCTCTCTTTCTCTTTCTCTATCTCTATCTCTCTCTCTCTTTCTCTTTGCCTCTCTCTCTCTCTCTCTCTCTCTGAATATCTTTCCCCCACTCTGCCTCTCTCTCACGCGCGCACGCTCGTCCCTTCCTTTTTCTCTACCTCTCTCGTGCGCGCCGGTCGTCGTTAACCGTTGACTGCCAAGAGAATTTTCTCCGGCCGTTCTCATGCGTTCAAACTAGTCGCGGGCGGGCCGACAGCACGTGTGCATAGAAAAATCTGATCTACATGCTTCACTTTGCTCGCAGCATCGCGCCACGATTCCCAGCTATGCTAATGTATGGGCAAATGGCGCCGCAACGTCGGTCGCCGTTGACTGCCAAGAGAATTTTCTCCGGCCGTTCTCATGCGTTCAAACTAGTCGCGGGCGGGCCGACAGCACGTGTGCATGTAAAAAATCGGATCTACATGCTTCACTTTGCTCGCAGCATCGCGCCACGATTCCCAGCTATGCTAATGTATGGGCAAATGGCGCCGCA